CGTGGACTGGCATTAGAAAACTCTTATTCTTGTCTTCAAGCCAGAGGCGGTTTCCTCGTGGACTGGCAATATAGAATAAGACAAGCCAGAGGCGGTTTTCTCGTGGACTGGCATTAGAAGAAAATTCTTATTCTTGTCTTCAAGCCAGAGGCGGCTTTGTCGTGGACTGGCAATATAGAATAAGACAAGCCAGAGGCGATTTATCGTGAGCTGACAATTTTAAATAAAATATAGTCACAGACGATCTAACGTCAGCTGACAGTTTAGAAAAAAGAGAGCTAAAGACGATTTATTCGTGAACTGGCAAATTGTAAGAAATATTGTCAGAGGCGATCTATCGTGAGCTGACAATTTTAAATAAATATAGTCACAGACGATCTAACGTCAGCTGACAGTTTGAAAAAAGAGAGCTAAAGACAATTTATTCGTGAACTGGCAGATTTTTAAGAAATATTGTTATAGGCGATCTAACGTCAGCTGACAGATTTGAAGAAATACGTATTTATTTTAGTTAGCAATTTACTGCACGTGTGGTCTGTTTATATTTTATCAGATAATTTATAAGGTCATTTAACCTTTTTTCTCGCAATTGAAATTCTATCGTATGACTGAATGATGTACATACGAGACAAAATAGACTTATACAAGGTGTCTAATAGATATAAGTTAGATATGATAAAATATTTTATTTGAAAAATGTATGTATAATACTATATATCTAATTGGAAAAATATGTTATATGCTTTTCCTATTTTTATTCTTATGTAATAAATACAAAATAAATAAATAAGTTAATTAATTATTGAATACATACATATACATATTGAATATAGTTATCTTTATTTTGTATTTTATATAACTGAAATAATATATACTTTCATTATTTTAGTCATTATCATATAAAATACAAAATAAAGATAAATATTTATTGAATATATGTGTATATGTATATATTAATTAATTGATTAATTAGTTATTTAGTATTTACTACATAAGGATAAAAGTAAGAAAAGTATATGACATTTTTCTTCAATGATATATATAGTATTATATGTATATTTTTTATTTATTATTTTGTCATATTTAGTTTGTATTTATTTGACACCTTGTATACGCTTATGTTTTCTCGGACATTATATTGCAGCTTTGCGACGAAATTTCAGTCGAGGAAACAAGCGCAAGCATCGTTTGTTTACAAACTTCCGATGACACACGTACACAGACCACACGTCAGTGTAGTGAGTCACCACTACAAACAAATGCGTACACACGGACCTACGCGGCATAGGTCCGTAGGCTGCGCCGATAATGTCATTTCATTTTTAGTACCATCGAAATGATGGCGCTTTCGCGTCGGAGTTCGCCCGTCACTTCAGCATCCTCTTAAGCATCAATTTAATTAATATTCTTACTTTATCAAAAATTGTTATATTGCAAAAAAACTCAGTGTAAGATTACAGCTATCACAGCGGATAATTTTAGGATCAACTATTAGAAATGTAAATTTCCGCACTTATATAAATTTGCAGTTTGCAGGTGAAATTAATTTTCAGCGTGTAATAAAGCAGACTGCACAAGTAAATTTATAGCTGCAAATTTACATCCGCGATCATTAATTTTTTTACAGTGTGTTATATCAGCAATTTTAATACTGTAATGCGGTGTTGAGTAAATGAAAACTATTAATTAACACTATTAATGAGAGTAAATGGAACATTCTAAGCAACTGGCACAGGCCCAATTAACGAACTCGTAATTACCTAACCGTCGCTCGTAAGAGTTCAATTGGGAAGTGCGCTATAATAACTTCGGAACGACCGCGCGAATTGCGGATCATTAAAGTTAAAGCGATCAAAAGGCAGTCGCCTTCTCATCGCGATTAGGGCCAAGCAAACAAACGGCGCGCGAAGGATCGCGCAACTGCAAAAAGCACGGTCGGGGCAATTGTTTGCAGTCTTCTTAAATTAGTTAGACGAGCGCTTGTGTCGCAAGTGCAATTGTTCACGGTGTTGCGACACGAGCGCAATTATGTCGCGCGCGGTAATGCATGGAGCATCGATATCTTAGGCCTCAAACTGACTAAACGTTCCACCAAATATCCCTCCCAATGTCCTAGAAACGCAGTGCTCTGCATCTTATACAAACGATGATCTTTAGTCTAGAAAGTACTTTGCGTTAAAAATATAAATTTGAAAATAATTACCAAGATAAAGTCTTGATTTATATTTTTAGAACACTTGTTTTTTTCCGAACGATTAAGGGGTATTGATAAAGAATCGTGAACGGCGCGTCACGGAGCTGTGTTAAAGGTTACGACAGCGGTTCTAATGCTAACCGCCATCGCATTCCTAAGAATTGCTTCTTCACTTCCTGTCGCCGGCACCGCGTAATATGCGATTCAGATCAGTTTAAGTAATTTCAACCAACCGTGAATAATTTTAAGTGGCGATTCCGTTAGACTTGAACCGACCCTACATCCTACTTTTCACATTGTCCTACTAAACGCGAACTAATTGCAGCAGATAGCATTTGACCTATTCTGAAATACGTCATATAGATAATAAAGATCCAGATGATAAATCACATAGACAAAAGACCGTGTACATTGTAGCAAAAATCTTATAAATTTACACCAACATGTAAAAATTATATGTATTAAGTTATAATTTTATCTTATGTTTTGAGAATAAAAAAAATTCCAATTAGATCAAAATAATCTCTAAATATAAAAAATTTACCTTCTTAAAGCTGAAATATATGTAACACTTTTATAAAAAATATCTGTTGATCTCAAAATTGCCCACTGTAATAATTGCAACTTTACATTACTTTTTTAGTGTGAATAAATATTCCACAAATATATTCCGTGCGCATATAAAATTGAACGGCATTGGAGATGGAAATTCTGATTCAACGATGTTATCTGTAACGTTATTCTATTGTTGCAACGTCAGACGATATTTCTTGACCGGTTACGCACCGCCGCGTCCACCCTAGAAAAGCTTTTCTTCCGCGGATTATAGTCGATCATTCTTGCGCTTTCCCTCTTCTCCTCTTCGACCCCGTCGAGTTATCAGTGACGATCGAAGCGACGGACGCGCGTCGGGGCTTCGCGCGCGGGAATATCATTCATCATTCAGCGAAATGATGAATCGCCGGCGCGATACGCCTCATAGATGCACCGGATGATGATGACGGTGAACGGGTCATCTCGCGGAGACCCGTAAAAACCGCCGCAGAATGCACTTCATATTCCGGGGTGCCGCGCGCGAGCGTCCTTATCGCGCCCGCTCGTCCGCATTCCAACCGCGTTAATTAATTAACGTGGAGACGCGCGTTTTATCAACCGGGCAGATAATGCAGCTGCAGCTCGCGCGAAAGAGAGAAAAGCGCTCGAGCCGAGCGGAGAGCGCCTTTTTCGACGGTCACGAGTCATGAAGGCTTTACACGGCCGCCGGATATATTTCGCGATTTTATCTCCGCGTTCGGGATTTCCTGGTCTAATTTTCCTTTTCGTTAAACAAAAGTTACAAACGCTAATTTTTGATAAATATCAATTTATTTAAGGTGCAAGTTATAAATTATTTGAATTCTTAGTCAGAAATTATTTGTAAAAACGTATCTATTTATGGCCCAAACCAAAATTATAGCGATATCTTTAAATCGAGTGTTTACTTATAGCTGTTAGAATTAAATTTTTCATACAATATAAATTTAATTCAACAACTTTACAATCTAAACGCGGTCAAACGTTCCGACAAAGGGAATATACGCGACCGGAAAGGTTAAGCAAGCTCTTTGTTAATGAAGACGTATTAACGAGTGTCCTGTCAGAAGCAATTAAAAGTAACTGTTTATGTGACGTTACTTAATCGACGACATTTAAGAGCGCCTCTAATACCATCAATTAGATCAATTTCCAATGGAATCTCTATTGAATGTATCACTATCTCATCGTCTGCACGCGTTTTAACCGCGCTGAATAGACTGTTTGAAATGCACGAGATCGTAAAACTTGAAGTATCGTATATCGGTGAAGGTGCGAGATCAAACTGAAAAGATACTTGTCGCGTCTTCAATGAAGACACGAAAGATTATAAAACGCGTAATCAACGAACCACAGATAACTGGTGCCCTAAAATCGCTGAACTTTGTCATTTATCATTTGCATTCCTCTAACAAGTACAAAGATAACGGCAAACTTATTCATACTTCGACTCACTAACGAGATTGTAATTTCTGAAGCATGTGTTACAGTACAAATTAAATTATAATTGCAAATATTGCAACAATTGATTGCACATTCGGCGATAAAGTACCTTTTGAGAATTAAAAGAAATTCTTACACATATTTTGTTAAAAGAAAAAAATTAAAAATTCTGAAAACAGCGTGATTTTAAAGAAACATAAATCAGTTTTTCATGAAAAATTTAATTTTAATAGTTATAAATAAATAGTTAATTTAAAGATATCGCTATAAATAGATGTTTTTATACGTAAAAGTTTAAGTTGATCACATTTTTTAAGAGATTATGTTTTTCAAATATAATTTTTAAAGAAACACTTTATTTTTTTTAGACTCTAAATATTCACAAAGATGCAAAAACATTTTGTTAAAACTTTAGACCACCTTCTTAAAAAAGACTCTAAGCTTGAAAGTTATGATCAAATAATGAAACTGAATGGTTTTATAATAATGTTTAGCATGATGCAAAGGATTAATTCCGAGCTTTAATGAGATTAGAAATTAAGCAGTTACGGCATATTATAACGATGAAGTTGCTGTCGAAATCACGAAATTATTCCATGAAGCTAGATCCACTGATATTCCTACGCGAATTAAAATCGCAACGAGTCACCAAATTATGCAAGCTCGCGATCTCCTATCTCGGACTCTTTCGAAACGAGCACTTTTATTAATTCGTAACAAATTCAAGGCAAAGTAGTTATGTGCGCGCGTTGCTGTGCACGCATAAATTTTAATATGTCATCGTCGTGAACTCTCGTCTCTTCTCTTATCTTGAAATTCTTGAACGGCTCAGAAACCCGATTCTAAAAGTGGAAATGAATGAAAATTGGCTCAAAGTCACTCGAGATTGCAGGCTGACAAGTCGCAACTGGCACGTATACCGGAGAAATATTTCCGCTATCGCGCACGTACGCATATTGTTAATTGCCTATAACGGCTGGATGTATGCGGCTAATCTCGCGTTTGTTATCCGCATCTACTTTCCGCACGGCCGCGAAAACATCCGTGGCGAACGCGGCGACGGTGAGCGCGGCGTGAAAAATAGCAGCGGCATGTGCAGGACTTTATCGGAGACACTTGACTTTTATTACGAAAAATTCGCGCGACTTAGGCAGAATTCAGTGTGCCGCGCGCCTGCAACGTAACACCGCCGATAACCCAATTAGGTGTTATCACGCTATTCAACTCGCGAGAACGGTAGTCGCGCGAGGGAATCATCGGATTCTCAAGAGATCTTCGCGTTGTTAGCGAAATACCAAGTTGTTACGTGAGTCGCGCGCTTAGATGATTTAATCTTTTCAAGTGACTAATCATGGTTTCTCAAGGACGCCAAAGTTGTATGTAGTATTTTGTCGTTATACATGTATATATAGTAACTCGTATTACTTCACACACACACACACACACACAGGAATCTTCTCGGAATTAATTCATTAATCTATTATTTGACCTAAAGAAAGTGCTCTCCTTTGCGTGAAGTTTGAGATTAAAACCACAATAAAATTGTACATATATTTAATATTAGAAAATAAAATCAATTAATATTGTTTTTCCGTAAAGGAATAAGCAATCTTATTATGCAAATAAAGAATGTAAAAATTCTTGCGATAAATGAAAGGATTCTTTTGCAAAATTTTAATCAACCTTATTTGTTTGTGTTTTACTTAAGTTTCGCCTAAATAATATATATTCAACGACATTCAACTCAGTAAAGAAAAAAATGAATTTAAACAATAAAAAGTGCTGCAAGTTTTTGGGTAGCGGCGTGATTATATTAATCAGAACATTGGGTGCCAGTAAATATTTTGCATTATGATAAATTATATTGCGAGTTATTTACCCGAGCGGTGGCACAGATTGCAAAGTGTTGTCCAGCTCTTGCGTGGGAATCGGAGTGTAACGTTGCCCCGTCGCTACCCCGTCCTGGACAAGTCGGCATGTCAGGACGATCCAGGCCGTCAGCAACAACGATGCGAACATCCTGCGCAAGGAGGCTCGCACTTCCTATTTCTGTTCCTTCTTCTTCGGCTATCCCGGATTATCCTTTTAGCTCGCAGGCTCGTCGATACTCGCACATCTAACACGCATGATCCTTTATCGATCTCGAAAGATTTCTCCAAGTCGCCGCGATCATTCCACCGTCTACAAGAACGATTTACAGCTCCTTTACAGCGTGCCGTTTCGCGAAAAATTTTTTTCAATTAGAACTTAATTCGAATCGCCCGAGAATTGATTATTCTTCCCTCAACACGTCGCGTACATAATTTTCAGTTGGACAGAAAGCTAACACATGCACCTTATCCACTCTTTTTCGTCACCTTCCACTTTGCCGCGTAAATTCGCGTCGAGAAAGACGGCCGAGCGTGCGATAATTCGCTCGTGACTGTGATGCCTTTCCGGAAACGCCAAATTAGTACGATGAGATAGACGCGACTATCTGCTGATATAAATATCCACCATAACTGGCGCTTTGGCGAGCGAGAGGCGAAAATTTATCATTGTAATTTCACGCTGTCGTTGCGAATTATTCATCCCTATCGTATTCCTATGAATTGTTTTATTTAGCTTATAACTTTTCAATTCTGCTTTTAGAAACAATTAATTCTTTCTGCACTCGTTCGTAATAATTACATTTATTCAATTGCTATTTTATAACGTTTGTCGAACTGCATACAAGTTTTTATTCACTGACAAATTCTGTAATAGAAACTTATGCCGTAAGTCTCAAATATATGTCACCGTGTGTTTTTACATTTTATTTTTTTTTCAAGAGGGGGAGTATCGAATAGAAAACAAACTTTTCTTTTTCGAAAAAAAAAAAAAAAAAAAAAAAAAGAGAAAGATACTTTAAAGCAGCATTTCTCGCAAATTTCACGTGCTGCCCATGCAGCTTTCACTCATTATCATAACGTAAATACGGGACCAGCAAAACATATCATTAAAGTTTCACAAACTCGCGCAACTCCCGCGAAAAAAAAAAGATCAGGTCCCGTTCGTACGTCCTATTACGAGCGGAGCGAACGTTTGAGATAGCTCTCGACCGGAGTGTTTGAGATATAACACCGCAACGAATGAGCTCGTAAAATCTACACTACGGCGCTATCGAGTCTATTGAAAGATTTTTTTTTTGCGAAGAAACAAGAACTTGCTTCGTTACGAATAAAAATACGCTTTCGGGAAGATAAAAATCTGTTTTTTTCTCTTTTAATTGAAAATTTGTTTTATCTTTCACTTTGTTTTTTAATTTTTTTTTACACGAAGAAGTGCAAATTTCACTCAACGCGGTAAAAAGATTCTTCCGAATATTAAAGAACTCATCTTTAGAGAAATATTTTTGCCCGCTAAATAGGATCTGCTAAAGATCTTTCTTTTTTTGTGGAACCAAATTTTTCGGGAAAAGTTAAAAGATCTCAAATTTCTTGTGAGTATACCTACTTAAGCTGTCAGCAATCTAGTATAATTCTATGACTAGCGCGAGTCGCTCGCAAATGTTCGCGCTAACAGATCTGCGACACACGCGTGGGCCGATTGACGATTAGCGCATATCGCGATTAATCGCGCTCGACATGATGATCCCCGACGACGCGTGTGATCATGCGTGAACGAGTCCGAGAGTTGCGACCAAAGATCATCCCGAAAAACTCACTCGCTTAGGTCAGCACTCTACGGATCGAGACTTATTCGATTTAACTCGAGCTTTATTCAATTAAAAATTCTCGACTCGTGCCACGAATAATCTGTGATATAATTGGTGATGTGCTGTTAAGTGTCTTCACATATCTTTCCATTGAACGCGTGTCACGAAGAATCTTGCAAAGATCTTTTTACAGACCGGCATTTACAGTCGATCAAGATTCAATGGATAATCATAGTTTTATGAATCTCTGATTACTCGTCAATCGGCGTTTAATTCTTACTAAGATGTTCACAATCGCAAATCGTTTTCAATCTTTGATCCTAAAGAATTATAGATTTGCTATTCAACGGATTGTTTCATAAATTTTTCTTTGAAAGATCTGTTATTTACAATTTAAGTAATCTTTGATTTCTTATGAACATTTATAGCTGGTTAATCGTTAATTACCAGCTGAAATAAATATCAATTTTTCTTAAGTCTTTAATGAAAATTGCCAGACGCGTATCATTTTCATTGAAAAAAACTTTTCAGTTATCGTACAGTTTCGCAATTACAGGAGAAAAGACCAAGACTCATTGAAGTGTTAATTTCTTTACACAGGGAGTGCGATTTAATTAAACGGCAGCGCGTTAATTGAGTATCCGGGAAACAGCAACGTACAGATATCGAATGCTCGTGAAAAATCCCACGTCACCAATAGGAAGTTAACATGAAAGGATCCGACGGCTCCTCCGTCGACCTTCGAACACCCGTTCCGACTTCCGATTTACTGACTAGCGATCAACTTTCCGGCCCGCTCGAGATCGATCACATCCCAAGGGAGACGGGAGACCTCGGGAAGATGCGCCGCGACGAGACTCGACGCGAGACTGGAGCCACAGATTGTGGATTCGAGGAGAGGGCTCATCTGGGGAAGCCTTCTTCTCTCTCTCTTTCTCTCTCTTTCTCTTTCCTTCAGCATCTTCGGCCATCCTTATCTCCCGCTCTCTCTGTCTCCGTATCGGTTTCTCGGCTCCTTCTCCGATTCACGCATCGTGCCGATCTCGTTCTCCCTCTCTTTGAGTTAAGACGAAGACGACGATGACGACGACAGACCCACCCCTTCTACTTAGCTGTTAACACCACGCATGTGTGAGCGCACGCGTTGTGTGCATGCATATGTTCCGAAAGGATGCACACCGATACTTGATCGATCAGTCGGGAATGCGATTTGCGTGAAATTGGCGGAAGTCGGCGGAGCAAGCTTCTTTTACTCGTGTCGATTTATTACGTAATCGGTTTTAATTTATTTCCTTCGATGATTTGAGATGCGATGATTTGTTTAGAATCAGCGAAAGTCGAGAGAATAAAAGAATATAACGGTGGCAACAAAATTTTCAAGTCTATTTTACTACTTTTTATCAACAGAAAAATGTAATTAAAAATTGTAGTATGTTGAAATTGTTAATTACTCGTAAGTCATCACATAAATAATTGCATAATGATTACGATAACATTTTTCCGAGAAAATGCAACGTTATTGCAACTTGTACATGGGATCGTTATATACATATCTTATGTAATCTATTTCTTGCTGTGCGACCATAGCTACGTCAAGGATTACGATAATTATATAATAAAGGCGTGTTCTCGACTTGCAAAACCATGGCGCATTACACATTTTCGTAATTTTCAAGTTAATATTGGATGAGCTTTTACAATTTTTGTAATTTTGTAGTAAACGCCGGATCTTCTTCCACGCCACAATGGCTTGATCTGAACGTTATCAAATGAGGTTTAACAGTTCCGATTGAGAAATCCGAATGACATTGGCCTTTGAATCCTGGGTTAAATGTAGAAATAGGGCGACAGTTCCAGAATCTGTTTGCATAGGATATGTGACGCGGACACAATTCACTACGTGCGTGCGTAGGCGAATCGTTTTATTATTATCATAATTTATGAATTTGAAATACAATTGACTGTAATTCAAAAGTTTCAATTTCGAATATAAATTTGGATGTTAGACAAAACGAAATCAATTTAACTTCAATGATTTGTTTAAGATGAAATAAAAGTTCCCGATGAGATCAAGGACCGTGTAATGTATATCGGCCGCGCGCTTTGTTTTTCATTAGCGTTACGTAATCGTCATTGTCGGTGACGGCATTTAGCGCATTGAGCTCTTCGGCATCCTTGGGTCAGGTTTGATATGCGGGTGGGAACGCGGCGACGCGCAATAGCTCGTACATTTATATAGAGGAAAGAAGGCGAGAGAACTGAGATACATGGCTAATGGGGACGCATAAAGAGTATTCGAGCACGACTCGGTATGCCGGAGTCGACTCGCGCAAGTCGAGAGGCCGGGAGATGCCTGATAAAACGAGAACCGCGTGGCAAATCGCTCCCCACCGCAGTCTGCGTCCACGAAGACTGTCAGCGAGGACTGACTCTCTTCCTCGACCACGATGACGCGTGTCGCATCCACGTGGGCTCAATTGATCGACACGTTCGATATCAGCGGACACAGAATGTGCATTAGTAAGGGCTAGCGTGTGTACGTGACAATTGAATTTAAAAATCCTTGGCGCACGCTATGCGTGTTATTTATTATTCTTTTGGTTGCAAAGAAATATAATTATATCTTTAACAAAAATAAGATAAAAAAAAATACCCGCTCTAACCGCAAAGCATATTAATCATGTAAAATTTAATGAAACCGTTTAAGCAAAAAGACCTAAAGTCGTTTGGTTTCCCTTTTAAATTTAATACACTACTAACGTATCACAAGATATGAACTGTCAAAGTATGCAGCTTGGAAAAAGGAGCTTTACAATTTTCTCACTCGAATACTTGACAGCCAACGAGGCATGTCGCTGCTACACGCTTTTCACGGAAGCTTTATCCAGGAGCCGATCTTTGCTTTCTCTCGTATGCAAAATAGAGACTTGCTCCGGTGGGTTCGGCATCGTGTCAGATGTCAGGACAGATACTATTTTACGATGGAAGATAGTTTTGTGGAGATGATGTTATGATGGACATACAGATTCTTCGTTAAATAAAGCTGCACAGTCGTAAATGCAGCTTTAACCGATCTTACGAGGTATTAATATGATCTTACAAAAAGTTACAGTAGAATTTTCACAAACTTTTTATTAAACTGATCTTTTAATCTATTTTTACACGAAAAATTAAATTAACTATATTTATTATTTTAGATATTTTATAGTTATATAAATTTTTATTTTTTTTAATTGCAGCCAACGTGCCAAATAATCTAAAGATACTTGAAGCAGCGAGTAAAATTGTCTTTTAAGTTATGCGCTCCGAAGTAAAATACCCCGTAAGCGCGCTATTTACGCGACGCACATGCACTCGTATAAGATGCGGCGATACGCACCGTGATTGTAATTCGCAGCGCGACAGACGAGATCGTCTAACACAAACATGATCGACAGTGATTACTAACTGGACTGCCGCCGATCTTGAACGCACTAGCAGCTGCACCTGCAATCAGCGCGCATGCCACCGCAGCGTACAAGCGTATACGATAAACGGCTCGACTTGTCCCGAGTAAATTAAAAGAAGAAGAACTGCGCAAAGCCTGTATCAGACTACGTATTGAAGATTGAAATTGTATTGAGATTACAGGGGATTTGACCGATCGAACCGATCACGGAATTATCAATGATTTCTCGTGAATCTCAATCTTCAATGCATAATCTGCTATGAGCCTAAGATTCGAGATGCTTCCATCTCGCAAAATCTATTATAAAAAAGGAGAATTACAATCTAAAAAATATAATTGTACTATCAGCAATTGATACTAAAATTAAAATTGCACTTAACTTGACAATCAATTTGACGCGGAAATTGCAATAAAAAATAATTAATTATTAATGATTTTAGTTGAACATAAAAACATATTTTTGAAAAAAATTATTCAAAACGTATTAAAAAATAATTATTTGGCAATTTAAATATTTTACAATAATTTTATAATACATTTTAATGATAAAAATGCAGTACTTGCGGAGTACTGCATGTATTTACAGTATTCATTATATTTCGGAACATTCTTTCTCCTCCCGCAGTTTGATAAGAAATCCTGCTAGATCGCGTGGACTAGTCGCGGATGAAAAATAGGCAGAACCGCCGTTATTTCTTTCTTCGGCGGCCAGGAAAGCGTAATTAAAAGGTACATCGTAAACAGTCATCAGCGCGAAGCAAAAGAGCAGCGTGCTGTCGAGAGAGCAGTTACTCAAAATAACATTTCAATCGGTTTCTCCGCGGAAAGCTGCCCGTCGCCGCTTATTATTATCAGATAATAGTTCAATTCATCCTCTCGTCGCTTGAATTGCTCAAGTTCTTTATCATTTTAAATATATCAATTAATTGTTGCATTGCAACGATTGCGTTTATAAACGTAATCGGCGAATTATTGCGCTGCTCCGCAAAATATAATTTCCTTAATTCTTCTTTTTCTCTTTGATCTTCGCTCTCTCGGATGTTAAACTTTTAATGTGAACTTTCCTCCTTTCACAAACCCTATCCACCGAAGCTCTTCTTTTCCAGAAATTCTCCTCTCTCTTTCTGAAGAATTTCGCGTATCTCCGCAGCTGTTTGTTCGTCAGATCGGCCAAGTTTTCTAAATAACTGGAATAATTCTCCTGGCTATCGGCGATGTTCATAGCGTGTTGTTTTCTCAGTATCTCGTCATCGTGTTTTGTTTTTATCTGATACTGTTCCACGATCTCATCTCCCTTTACGTATTTTGTCAGGTTTAAAGCGAGCAGACGATGATGAAACTCCGGTGACTTCAAGGTTCTGCGTTGCCTCGCATGCGACAAGCAAAATGTCATATTTTTATCCTTTATTATTTTCGAATGCTTTTCGTTCTCGTCCACAAGTGCTTCGGGTTCGATTTTTGAGACGTGAATATTCAAGAAAGTATCTCGCAGCTCCTTTCCACGTTCAGATCGACCTGAATCCTTTGACCACCAGGATTCTTTCAGTAACGCTATTTCTTGCTCTCTTTTCTTGTCTTGACGGAGCTAATAAATACGTATTTATTTTAATAATAAGAAATAATATAATCATTTAATAATAAATAATTGACACAAATACACGATAAACATAATTCATAATTTCTGTGATATTTGATCCTAAAGAATGTGTTAATTATTTTTAAACTCATTCCAAATATATCTTTGTAAATGTATTTTAATTTAGATTAAGCTATGTACACATTATTATGTACGCACCTCTACAGCATTCTTAGCGTCTGCAACGACCTGAAGAATCCAATAAGGCGATTCCAAAACTTGATCATCATTCTGTTTTGAGTCTCTCATCGTTGTCTCGTCCGAACTTAACGATACTTCATTCCCGAACTGTGTCTGCGTTTCGAAATTTCCTGCACTTCTCATTTTTATTCGATTTACGACTGTCCATTCGATATCTGTAAGAGGCCAACTGTCGTTGAGCACGAAAGCCTCTACGTAATACGAATTCTTCTCTTCTATCGCATTTTTGTTGATTTCATTTTTTGTGGCTCCAACATCTTCGTTTTCAGCAGGATATTTCAAAATTATTACGGGTAACAAAATCTTGGAGCCACCTTGCTCGTCGATCAAAACGTTGCCCTTTTCATCCGTGACTTTTATTCTAATTTCCGCGAAATCGTAAGAGACTGACAGCCTCATCGAAACGACGCTTTCCGAAGTCGCTCGCAGAATCCACCGCGAGATGCAATTCTTGATGTTCGGAATGTATGTACCGACCAATTCTCCGACTAATAATTTGGGCGGCTTAGTGTCGAAAGACAAAGGCCGTTGCTCGTCCAGTTGATGAAGCGCAGGTTCTCCTTTTATAGTAATCGCGCGAATCGTCCAGTCGAGCTCCTTGAAGCGTTGCTCCTCGCTCCAGCCGTAAGCGAGCACGGTGTAACCATTCGGAATGTATTCGTAGCGAGCCACGTGATTCATAACATGCGTTATCTCGCGTCCGTTGTGGTTGCTGAAGACACGCAACGCGAAACGCGGAAGATCGACCAGCAACTCGAGGACCGCAAAAACTGTCTCCGCGGGCTTTGGACTCGCGACGAGTCGAACAATCGGAAACCACTGTTCGTGCTTGATGCTTTCCACGACACCGTCGAGCTCCTGAATATTAAGAACATGCGCAAAGTCCGCGTAGCAAGGATACAGATCGTGCAGACTGTTATTATTGTTGATGACATTTCTCACTAATTGATTTGCTAAAGACGAATCAAATAAGTCGGATATTTTTAGAAGCTCTTTGCGAGCCTGCGCATGCAGAGCGTCATCGGGACTGTGAAGCTGCTTATATTTTTTCACGAGAGCCATCTTGAAGAAGGATTGAATTATCGTGGCCGCTTGATCGTTATTCAAGAAACTTTTATCATTGCGCGATGTGTGAAACCGTGTTCTTTTAGCCTCGTTTATTGTGTAATCTTGAGAAATTTTCTGAGTCGTCAAATCGTATTCTAGTCTGATATTTGGATTCAGAAAAAATATTCTCAAAGAGCGAAGGATGTTTCCGAGTTCTTCATCAAGAAATGCTTCCTTGATCAATCTGACTTGTTCTTTCATGAAAGCATCGTGTATTAGCATTCGAAGATTTTTGTTTTCTTTCGAAGATGCATGTAGCGAGCTGGGCATGTAGCTACGATAGTAGCCTTTCAACGTTATCGGATAATCCTTCGTTCCGAACGATCGATAAGCTTCACAGAGGCTGGCGCTGATTATCCTCGACGTTCGCCCGATCCTGTCGGATTCCACGATCATCAGCTCTTGCACAGCCGTCCGATTTCCAAGGTGGAAACTCGTGTCGGAAGAAATAATCGCTACGCCGGAATTCAAGTGGCAGCAAACTCGCAAAAGTTGCCTGCCACCTTCCAATTCTACGACGGTCGATTTATTGCCTATCGTCGAAATAGTAACCGATTGATCTGATTGATCTGCTCCGAAGAACCAATTATACTTTTCGAAGATTAGATAATTTTTTTGTCGCAAATCGGCATTCTTCTCCTTTGATCCAGCACAGAGATTGATCAGGAAGAATTTTTTGTCCAGAGAGTCGCAAAACAAATACACAGGTTTATATTTGAATTTTGAACTGTTGCTATTCATATCTGCAAATTTTTAAATAAGAAAAGAATTTGGTGAGATTAGATCATAATCTTGTCTTTTTTATTCTATTCTTATGCATAAAAAAATTAATTATTCAATCAATTTTTAAACATTAATTATTAATTCATTAATATTATTAATTAGGATTATACAATGTGTGTTTTTATACGAAAAAATATTTTTATATTGTATATATAATAATAACTTCTCATAAAAAATAATAATATTAAAATAAATTGGTTTGAAATTTAATTAATCACACATATTGCTTTGAATTTATCGAAGCGATAGTTTCTATAGCTACCTCTTGTCTCCTCTTTTATTTCTTTCGTAGCTGCTGCTTTATGATTCTCGCTGGTCGCTTTCAACATGTTGTCTGTTACTTGAATCGAGTGCTGAAAGTATTGCAGCTTATAAAATAGATGCACTTCGATCACGTACGATGCTATCTTGTTGAAGTCGACCCATCGACTGACATCTCCCGCTGCTTCCTCCTTCATCGCGATGAATACATCTGGTGTTTTCTCGGATCTCGTCTTCCGTGCAGCTTTATCAGACTGCTCAATCTCACTCGGAGGGATAGAATTTCCCGCGATGTTATTTTCTTCATAAACTGAGGCGGTGCTCTTTTTGCATTCTTCGAGAGGGCTGATTACTTTCAAGTAACGGATCGGAACGAAGTAATCGGCAGGATCGATTACATTTCGCGAAATGGCCCACTTTAACCAACGATGCTTCTTCCACTCTGCCAACGGTGGCTTCACCTTCGAGAAAAAAGTAGTCTTTTGTGAATGAAACAAACATTTAAAAAACACAAAAGAAATATCTGAAAGATATTTCTCAATGCATCTTAATATTCTTCGGATCTTTTTACATATTTTTAGACTGTGTTATTTGCGATATCAAGTTATGAGAAATAAAAGATGGGAACAAATTTAAAAGAAAAAAATTTCTGTGATAAAAAATTCATCATGTTTCCTCAATAGATAAATGAAACAATCAGATTTAAAAAATATTATCTGTATAATGTTTAAAGAGGAAATAATTCAATTTGTATTACATCTTTCAGGTCGAGAGGAGCATCGCGTGATTGGATAATGTAAATTATATGATCCCAGCAAGGCGAGAGACCGGGCACCGCATCGCTTCCGAGTTCTCGCATGTCGCCCAAGAGGAAAAACAGCGTGACCAATTGAGATTTCTCGGTGTGTAGCCGCAGAGTTTCTCCAGCCTTCCTCGTCTTGCCGGTTGTAATAGTTTCGGAGCTTTCTACTCGGAAGTATAGAACGCAATCGAAACGTCGGCAATTAGATTTGTGTAAACAGAACGTATATGCGGACATACATTTCATGCGCGCACACCTGATACATAATCGTTGGCAGCTTGCGGCGTCAATTCGAAGTGTTCGGAATATTTCGTCAGTAAGTCCCACTTGTCTTGCATCGATAAATGTGAGACGTTTAATGTTAAGCAGGTCCAGCCTGTGTTTATTTTCACTTTATAAATTTTATAAAATACCAATACTACGACTATCATTAAAAATGATTGTTTATTAAATCGAAATTTATTGCATGCTAAAGATTATTGTAAAAAAATGTTAGAAATCGAGAAGTAAAAAGTACGGCCAAATTTACCTTTGTTAAGCTAGCACCCCCATCACAAAAAATTAACCTGCTGAATCGTAAAACCAACAAGAGTAAAGTAGTCTAAAAAATCAACATTATGTGCTAGCTGAACAAGGGCGCCAAATTTGAACAGTAAATTTTTATGTGAGAAGTTTTTTTATCTTTTCTCAACAAATCAATAACGAAATAGATTTATAAATATTATTTTTTATAAAACGTTAATGGAAAATAAAGTAAAATAAAATTCATACAACCTGTGAGACAAGTAATTGGATGAAATTCGACGACCTCGCGGAGTTCGCTCCAAGTTAGCGAGGCAATCTTGAGTAGCGCTTTGGCAAGAAGCATCGGCCACAGTTCAAAATTGTTAAAAGTGCATGGCAAAAGTAACGTGCCGTTTTTATCTACGGGAACGGTGTCGTCTATCAGAATACGACGCCAGCATCCCATAAAATATAATCTTATAACATATTTTCCTGTAAAATATTAACGCATATTGATTGCAGTATGAATTATTAAAGTGGTATGCTGGTTGCTTTAATGATATAAAAATCATTATTCTATATTTTAGATTCTCGTTTTAAAAGTTTAAAAATTTCAACATTGATCATCGAAGAATTGTGTTGCGAAATTAAATATTGGACCCACCACTCGGATTTATCAAAGGTCGATGCTGAGTATTTTTTCCAGCCTTGTTTAAGGAATACACGTGCAACCAGCCGTGCCAGGGATTGTGGCGATTGGTCCAGACAAAGTTTGAGCTTTCGCCGCTGATTTCCAATCCTTCCCGGCCGCAATATTGCAAATTTATGAATGCGGAAATAAACCATCTTACAAACTAGAAATTATTATTATTATTTCTAGCAATTTTCCTGCAGCAGTTTATGCAAGCCATTGAATCCCGCTTAGTTAAAACTGAAAAAATACCTCGCTATGCAACAAATGTTTATTGTTAGTAATTAGATCCGGATATCCTGCGGTCAACGTGTATACCGTCAAAGCACCCTGAAATATTTCGGTTCCCAATCTAATATATTTATTTAAGGCATCAAAGCAATAGTGAAAGTACAGTTAAGTGCTTTAAATCTTTCGCTCGTATCCAATGATCAGGCTCCAAAGATCGCGGCATCGTGACAGTTTCTGCATCCAGGAACAACCCGCCTTTGGGGATTTCCCATTTTTCGTTATTCAGATCGGAATCCTTCCATTCCGGCCACAGCATGTTTACGTCCGCGTGTCAGGATGACGATTAATTTCAGGAGCGAAGAAGCTTTCGATGTTTTTTTGACATCGGAAGGAAAATATCGTGAAAAGGAACGTAAAGCGACATATTCAAATAACAAAAGTATACGGGGTAAAAAATAAAATATTTACTCCTGGAATTCTGAAAAAGGTATATATATTTATTGATCCTGTATATATCATTATTGGACAGAATGGAATTCGATTAGCACTATACTACTCGTAGAACTTATATCGTTAATATCTCGCGACGAGTGCGAGTTCCGAAATTCCGAAAAGTTATAATGTACAAATTAAGACGAAAAACGCAGTCTGGAGAAAGCTATTTCGATGATTCTAAAACATGTAGGGCGAATAAAATTATATTCACTATCTCGAATAGAGAGAGTATCAGCCACAATTTCGTTAACACCTTTGTTTCAACTAGAATAATAAATTTTTACGAAAACGCTACTCTCGTGCAGCAACGACGATAGAGAAATTCATCTAATAAGTTCTCTCTTTTTTTCCCCCTCTTTTATCAGATTTTCCTTTTAGCATAGAGAATCTTTGGCACTGACATTTGTTATAAGTTTCTGTCCTATTGAGAACATACAATGAGTAAAAATAATATTTATACATCATCAACCTTTGAACTATACAATGATTCGTGACTTTCTTCTTCATCTAAAATCTTTAAAAAATATTTGATTCAGCGTTAGCTATACAATATAGATATCCTACGCGCAAAAGCAAATCAAAAAGTAAAGTATATTTGCTCGCAATCTGCGCATAGCGATCGTTACGTGTGCACCGTTAATAAAATTAGTTAATTATAAAACCATATTGCTAAAACACTTAATGAAGCTATTAAGTTTTTGCACATTTCAGAAATTATATCTTGCATAAATTTTCAAAAATTGCAAAAGTCAAAGACATGCGTACTTGGTTTCAATTAATCAAAAAATTTTATCGCGGATGAGAGCGTTTGTAAAATGCTACGAAATATATATTGTAAAAAATTGATTGAGAAATGAATGTCTCGTGTTTATCGCCACTGAAATGATTAATCAGTTCTCACTTTACTTTTTGACTTTTTCCCATGCAGTGCATTTGTACGTCGACGTTGTTTATTCGCAGTCGTCTCGCAACTGAAAAAGCTACCAAACAGTGAAATTCGGCGGTGCACGAATACTTTTCTCACCCGCTACGCAATTTTGCTTATATGCATAATATATTCCTCAGAAAAATAATCCATGCTTCTCCTTATAGATTAAAGTAAGTCGAGAAGATACGCAAAAGAAATATATACGTATAAAATAATAAAAACTACAATCTTGAGGATGTGAACGTTAAAGGGGCTCTTCCTGCTTGTCACGAACGAAACGTCCGAAAATCATTCACACCCTCAAACTGGCAGTGTTCGGAAAAACCCGTTTCGCACGCGCGATTATAGCTCCGTGTGTAAAACGAGCGTAGTAGAGTTCTTGATAATACTAAAACCGGAGTTAATTACTGGCATGTCACATCAGTCACGATGTCGTCGGCCCGTATTACATTTAACATTCATGCTTCTTTTTTTTTTACATTCAACATTTACGATCGACAAATAATTGATCTATCGAAAATAGTTCTCACATCATCCAGTTTACTCCACAGTAATTTATTCGACCAAGTAGCCAGAGACTAACGGCAGTTATTATTATTAGACGGTTAACTGAAAAGTTGTTCATTATTGCATTCGCGATGCTTTTACACAACTTGTTTTTTTTTTTTGCAATTCGTAAAAGCAATAAAATACAAGAGTATTTATCGTTATACATAGACGCGGCAGTACCTACGCGAATAAACAATTAAGTTTATCTGAACGGAATCCAAGGCCTGAGTGCAAAAACTAGGCTAGTTTTTTTTTATACTTTCCACATTTAAGAGAAGATTGAGGAAAAATGCAAATTCAGAAATCCGAGGTGTCTTCAATCGAACTGAATGCAAGGTCTAAGCAAAAGTGCTTCACAGTTGCAAAAAAGTAAATAATTATTTATTTTTAAATAAATTGTTATTTAGACAAATAAGTAATTATTTATTTTTGCAAGAAATAACACATCTACTTCGGATCTGGACGTCTGAGAAAGGTGTGTCACTATAAGAGTATACATCTGTATCGAAAAGATTAATCGACATTGTCTAAATAGTTTTAACGTAGCAATTACCAGTCATTTAAACGTACTTTAGAAATGTACGCGCAGTAACAGAATTTTTAAATCAAATTTGATTGAAACTTTCGAACCTTCTTAATATAGCTGACTGAAAAAAGAGCTGTATTATTCTTAGACGAAGTAATGTATTCGATGTGTTCGATTTAGCATTCGATAACGAGAAATGTCTTTCGTTCGACTATTCCAACTTCTCTGCGACACTTAAACGGGTGTCTTCGCACTCTGGCACAGAGCTCGGTTCTCACAATCAGGCATTTCGAAGCATTGCCTTTTTGGAACGGAGCCAGGCCGTTCAGATGTAGTACCAACCTTTTCTCTTAAGTAATCAATAAAATAGAAATATAATAATGAATAAACAATTAGCGAAGGAATTGATAATGTAGTCGAGAATACGTAAGATAAAGGATCTAAGAGATGGAATTTAAGGAAAAGAATTATGAAGAAAAGGAATTAAATCAATATCTGTTTTCTAGCATGCCTTGCCGGGTCCGGAAGCCCTTTGATCCTCCATTCGTCCGGCTTGAAGTCTTTGTATTAGCGCGAAAAGATCCTCTTCGGGCACGGTGGAACCTGATTGAGCGGTTCCGTTGGCTCTTCGTCCCCTTTCTTCCTCGGAGTCCTGCAACGTTGATGCAGCCGGAAGAGGACTACGTTGATCTTCTAAACGGGAACTCTGAAAGCAAATACACATAACTTCTTGAACAATGTCCTTTTTCACACAAAAGTACAGTGTGTTTGAACAGGAAGAAAAAATATAGGTAAGAAAAAAGATTTCATCTAGGTATTGAATTGAATAAATAGATTAAATATAAAAAGACTTGCAATGTTATAAACTTTCATTTAAATTAATAAACTAGAATATAACATTAAAATGTACATTCTAAAGTTTTAACCTAATCTGACAAATGTTATGTTCTAGTAAAATAAACAATAAATTAATTATATGTATGAAACTCTGACTGAATGTTACAATGTTCGTGTCTGCGTCTACCTGGCATTTAACGAGCATCTCGATGAAGGAATCATCCGCATCCTGATTGGTATTCAATCCTGGCAGGTAAGGTAACGTCACTCGTTGCTCATCCATCCGCTTGCTTTGCATACCGGCGATTAATTCTAGCAAATCTTCTCCATCTCTAAAAATAAAAATCATATCATTAGCTGTAAAAAAAAATACATTGATCATCGCGATAATAGCGCTTATTCAAAATAAAATTATCACGCACTTGTCTTCCATGTCGGACGCTTCCGGTGAGATTGTTCGATATTTCGAATTGTTCTTTATGTTGAGCGCGCAACGTTGATCATCCATTCTACCCGACTGAAACCGGTACAGCAAATCGAAGAAATTATCTTCTTCCTTCTGAGATGATTGGGATGCGGCGTTACTACCTTTGTCCAGCACGATTTCTGATTTGTCTTTCTGCTTCGCGTCAGGTGTGAGCTAAACACATACAACAACGGTTAGTTTAAATTAATTAATTCAGTAAGTGCGATGCATTCCAAGTAAATATAATTTTCAGAAGAGGAAAATGCCTAAAAACTAGGGAAATGTCAACCTTGATAAGATCCAAATTGTCCATGCTTTGTCGCCTGAGTCTGTATCTGCAGGATGCAGTTGTCGGAACATTCGACGTTGCATTCGCGGGAAGCTTCTGCGTGTTCACATTCTCCTTGTTGCTCTCTTGCTGATTCTTCTCCAGACCGAGAATCTTTTGCAGATCGTCGATGTTCATCTGCGCGGTAGCTTGGCCCATCTGATCCTCCAGCTCCTTCGAGATGTGTAGATGCAGATTCGCGTAGTGCAGCGCTTTTTCGTGATTGCCCATCGCAGCATACGCATTGCCGAGCGACCAGCAGGCGCGTCCCTCGCCAACGCGGTCCTTCAATTGCTGAGCTATGCTCATGTGCCACAAGTGATACTCAACGGCCGCCGAGTAGTCCCGCAGAAGAGTGTACGTATTGCCCAAAGAATAGCACGCTTGTGCCTCTACTTCGCGATCGCTCAGCTCCTGCGCGAGGACTAAGGTTCTTCTGAAAGTTAAGAGACATTTTTCATCAGTAATTATGCAATTTGTAAGGTAAAAGTCGCGCTGTTCAAGCCGAAATATGCGATTAAGTAGCTAAAAGCTGTAATATTTACTTGTAATGTTGTGCAGCTTTCTCAAACTCGCCCAGGAATATATGCGAGTTTCCTAAATTGCTGTTGGCTCTCCTCTCGGCCGGTTTATCGCCAAATTCTCTGGCAATTTTTAGACGTTCGTTGTGGTAATGAATGGCCTGCTGGAAGTCGCCCAACAAGTAAAATGTATTGCCTAAGTTGCCGCACGCTCTACCTTGCGCTGCGGAATCTTCCAATTCCCTCATCAACTCTAGATTTTCTCTGCAAAAAGCGCAAAACATTGTGTCACACATTTCATCAACGCAAATCATGTGTATTTACGTATTAATTCAAACAAATAGTGAATTAGACGAGATCTTACTCATAATAGCGTACAGCCTGCTGCAAGCACTGCCGGACGTCCTCGGAGAAGTCTCCTGGATCCTGATGGCCTATTCTACCTGCCTGTTTGCCTTTAGCGTGATACACGTTCCCTAAATTGTACAGGGCTCTTCCTTCGCTGAGCTACATATCATAAAATTATTAATTAAAAATAACAAAGGTATTTAAAATAAACTTCAAAAATTTAAGAAGAAAAGAATATAAAAGCAAACAAGTGGCTAATGTGTAGAAAATAAAACTTGGTTTTAAAACTCTTGACTTTTAAAGAGTGTTTTTATCTTTTATTTTTTTTTTAAACTGATTAAAGTGTTTGCAGTAAATAAACGCTGTCGAAGCGTACCTTATCTCCAATTTCTTTGGAAATTTCTAAATGCCTCTTACAGCATATCATGGCTTCGTCAAACTTGCCCATAACTTTCAGCGTGTTGCCCAAGTTTCCACTGGATTTGGCTTCCCCGAGTTTATCGCCCATATTCCTGGCGAGCGTCAGGTCCAACTTATGATACTGCATTGCTTTGACATAGTCACCTAAGTAGAAGTACGCGTTGCCTAGTTGGCTGTAGATTGCGCTTAATATACGCAGATCGTCCGTACCAGCCTGGATTGCGGCCTGGAAGAACGCCACGCCGGATTTGCAGTCGCCGGCTTTGCACAGGCGTTCGCCTTCCAGTGCCAGTTCCAGACACATGTTCCATCTCTCGCTATTCTGATAAACATCACAAACATTATCACATATTACACGATTTTTATAAAAAATTATATACAGATTGCTATTCCAACCAGTTAATTGAGATTTTGTATTATACAAAGATACATTTATGCAATTGTAGTGGAATGTACCTCAATTTTTCTGCTATATCTGAATTTTGTTGTATGAAAAGAATTCTTCGTAGAAATTCATAGAATGAGAAGCTTCATAAAACAATCAAGAGACAATATTTTAAACTTTTCAATAAGTACTTATAAGGTAATTTTTTTATGTATATGAAGAGTCGTAATATAAAACAAAACTGGTGATTTGAATATTATGTGATCAAATTTAAAAACAGTGGAAAACAATTTTCCACAAATAAATAACAGAATAATTTATTTGTTATTTTGATACAGAAAAAATTCCTTCATAGTTTTCATGCTTTAACATGGAGCAAATTCCAAATTACATTATTAAAGTTAAATTATTTGTCTTTTATTTTTGAAAGCTTTTTGAATTTTATAGATTAATACTCCATGAAGCAATCCTAAAATACATGAAATGCATGTGTTTTCATCAGCGAAAGAAACAAAACTATTTAGAAGCCAAATGGAAACAAGAAAAAGAAAAATGTTTCAAATCAATAAAGGATGGAAAGTGGAAAGATTTGGATTTGGACAAAGAAAAATAGAGTTGATAATTTCCATTTTAGAACAATCACAATCAAGAGAATGAAAAGCTTCTCAGTTATCTTACTTTTACAAAGTATACTTGAAAAATACTTAATGAAATTTATTTTTAGAACAGTAGCTAAGTTGAAACAAAGTATTTTTAGTCAGAACATAAATACACTGGCGAACATAAATTATATATAAAACCGGCGTGAATAAATGTAAGAAATAGATGAAAATAAATGGTATAAAGAAACAGGTGTGGCAGTAGCCGAAGAAAGCATGAGTCACGCGTGAAATAATCAGCGTCGTCTAGGCGTCGATTCACTTACTTGTCCTTCGGACGACAGATTCTCAGCGCTGGCGCTTAGAGACATTTTGCTTCGTTTTTCCGACGTCTTTTCTCCTCAAACACAACCGTTCAATTACCGTTGGAATAAAGCCACGCGTAGCTATCAGTGCGCGAAGCGATAATGATTGTTCCTCGCGGCATGATCTTCGAGTATTCCGATTGTAAGAATCGTGAGAGTTTACAATCGCGTCATTATACGAATACGCTCCTGATCCTTTTACTCCACAGTGAAGCAGTGAAGCCTCTCAACACAAGCCGATTCTGCAACGCGTCCAATCCAAATAAATGGCGCTGTCGGCTTTGGGCGCTGGCCATCACCCAATGATAGTCTCTAGAAATAAGAGTCTGAGGGCTTGTTCGTTTTAGCTACACTGGGGCTGCTCTGGGTCTGCTCTACACAGGATAATACAGGACAGATAAATAGTTTGTCCTGTATTATCTTGTTTAGAGCAAACCCAAGAGCTGCCCCACGTGCAGTTAAAACGAACAGGCCCTGAATCAGACCTGCCAGTTTTCCCCCCAGAGAGCTCCATACGCACAACCACTTTGCGACGCATTGTGGAATGACCCTTACTTTGAGCATGCGCATTCTATTTTAGACTAACATTAAAGATATCAACAGAAAGCCATTCTATTATATATTCCATGGCCATATTGTAAATACATTGTTGTATCAGCGTTGCAGTGTGCGGATAGGTTAAGTTTCGGAGTTCACAATTAGAGAAAACGTGATCTATCTTGTTTCAGAGAGATACGAATATTAATTTTAAAGCGTTGAATGAATATGCTTTTATCGAAATATGAGATAATTTGACAATTTTTGGTGTTTACAAAAATAAGCAGTTTGTCGCATAAAAATAAAACTGTTATGTATTTTTGAACGTGACGCTAAAATTATTTCAAAATGAGTGAAAATGAATCTATGTATGGGACAACTTTGTCTCAAGAATCTATCAAAGTTATCGCGGAAAGTATTGGCGTTGGTAATTTCCCGGATGAGGCTGCAAAGGATCTTGCAGAGGAAGTGAGTTACAGACTGAAAGAAATTGTTCAGGTTAGTAAAGTTGTATGAACTCTATGTATTTACATTTTATTTCACCTTTATAAATAATTACTTTTTATAGAATAAAAATAATAAAATATACTATGTTAAAACATAGTACATTTATAATAACAATAAATCTATTTGTTATAGGATGCTGTAAAATTTATGAGACATGGAAAACGCCAACGAATGACTACTCATGACATAGATCACGCATTGAAAATAAAAAACATTGAGCCAACATATGGATTTTTTGCCAAGGACCATGTGCCGTTTCGCTTTGCATCAGGCGGCGGTAGGGAATTGCATTTTGTAGAAGAGAAGGAAATTGATCTCAACGAGGTTGTATCTATGGCTGGTGGACCAACATGGCCTAAGCTACCTCTGGAAATTACATTGCGTGCTCATTGGTTGTGTATTGATGGTGTACAGCCTACTATACCAGAAAATCCACCACCAGTATCAAAAGGTTTGTTTAACTTCTTTTTTTTTTACATAAAAGACAATTTATAAAGAACATATTTTTTAAACTTATCAAGAAAAAATAAAGAAAATGTAAAGAAAAAATAAAGAAATTGTTTAAAGGAAATTAAAAAAGAATATGATTATAATTTATAAATACTTGCAATTTTCAATTATTACTGCATTAATTTTCGTAGATGCCCAGAAACTGGAGAGCGTCGACCCGACGACCAAGCTTTCCAGCAAAAATCAAAATATTGGCGTTGGGAAACCGGGTGGTGGTGGAAAAAGTCAGAAGTTACGGAATGTGGAGACAGTTCATGTGAAACAGCTCGCAACACATGAGCTTAGCGTGGAACAGCAATTATATTACAAAGAAATAACGGAAGCTTGCGTTGGGTCTGATGAAGCTCGCAGAGCCGAAGCTCTTCAGTCCCTCTCGGCAGATCCGGGTCTACATGAGATGCTGGCTCGTATGTGCACCTTCATCGCGGAGGGTGTGCGAGTTAATGTAGTACAAAATCATCTTGCATTGCTTATCTATCTCATGCGGATGGTTAAGGCTTTACTTGATAATCCGAGTCTCTACTTGGAGAAATATGTAAGTTGTTTTTTTTAACTCGAATGATGAATTTAACGTATTTATTTCATTTCAATGTAATAATGTTATAATTTTCAGCTTCACGAGCTGATACCATCGGTTGCGACCTGTATAGTTTCTCGACAGTTATGTATGAGACCAGACGCAGACAATCACTGGGCGTTGAGAGACTTTGCTTCGCGGCTGATGGCGCAAATATGTAAAAATTTTAATACCTCAACGAATAACGTACAAACTAGAGTCACCCGTATGTTTAGCCAAGCATTGGCGAAGAATCAGCAGGTAACAGCAACATGGTTAGAAAAGAAATAGATGGAGAAAATAGAAAAATAATTTGTTTTTATCAAAAATGTGTCAAAAAATTGATTTTATATTGCTCTTTATTTTTCAATTTTACATATTAAAAACCGCGTATTGTAGTGATTCCACTTAAAAATCATAAAAATAAGATCTTGAAGTATTCTGTGACTGAAAGTAAAGAGTGATTTTTCTTGTTTAGACACCGCTAGCGTCCCTTTATGGAGCGATTGAGGGGCTTTGTGAATTAGGACCAGAGGTGATCAAAGCTTTGGTTATTCCCAAAATTAAATCCATCTCCGACCGCATTGAATCGTGCATCGAGGGGCAAGGACTATCCAGCGTGGACAAGAATGGAGCAGGACACATTAAAACTTTGCTTGTGGTAATTTAATTTCGAGAACTATGAGATTTATATCTAAAAGTATAAAAATTTTCTATTAAAAAATTATATTATATATCTTTAATTTATTAAAACATAAATTTATCGTTTTTTTATGTCTTTCTGTAAAACTTTAAGAACCTGTTTTTTTTTTTATATTGCAATAATAATATACATCTTTAATGATTGAAAAAATATTTTTAGAAATCGGTTGCTCCAGTCTTAAAGACGATACGATCGCCACCGGATTATGTGGAAGAGTACAAACAGGATTATGGATACATAGGTCCTGCGTTATGCGCTGCAGTCGTGAAAGCTCGCACACAACCGGCCGCTCTAACAACCACAGCTGCAACAACTACGGCGATAACGACAAACCAACAAGGTTCTAACTGCACAGGAAAAACGCTCGTTCAAACAGGTGAGTGCACTGTTATTGACAACAGTAGTGTGCGCATTCCGAATATGCGACATTGTGCCATGTGACATTTGTAGTGGCCAGTCCGAGTCCCGGGCAGCAAGCAGGTCGCACGATTATGCTTGGCGCGAGTAGAAATGCCAGCGGAACCGCCGCCACTGGCGGGCAGAAATTTGTTATTCTGCAATCGCGCTCGCAGACACCCACTGCCTCTAATATAAATACTGGTACAACAATTCAACAAACGCAGCAGCCGCAGACGCAACAGCAACAGCCGCAACAACAGCAGCAGTCGCAGCAGCAGCAACAAGTTAAATTAGCACAGACCAATGTCGGCCAGCAAAAGACGCACCTGCAAGGTTCTACACCAAAACTGGTTGTAGTATGCATGCCGACCAGTAGTCACACTAATACATCAATAACGCAGGTAAGATTTCTCACATCTTCTCACTTGTGTTCGCCGACATTATATATAAATTACGATTTAAGAATATTGCAAAAATGTGAAAGATACTAAAAGATTTGTTTTTTTTTTCAGCAAGCAAATCTGGCGGCAAAAACGCAAAGTGTTTTTGTTACACAGCAGAGTGTCGAGAGATCACTCAGTCCAGAAGAAGAGCACACGTTTTAATGAAGATATGTGATGAAACAAAAATAGAACTTCCAAAACCTTCCTTAATTAATGCAATTAATACACTTTATATAAGAACAGATATGCAATTCATACATTTTAGATAAGATTAGCGCAGATATATATATATATATAAAATAAACTTTTACAGAAATTGGGACAAGAAATACTTATATATAAAGACATACTTAATTCTTAAATCTGTCGAATTGGTTTTTTTTTTGTTTTGTTATATCCCACATTTAGCCAATATTTTTGTATTTTTATACAACTTCATGCTTTGTATTAGGAAAATATAGTTTCAATATTTTACGCTAGCAATTTAGGTTATTAGAACTGGATTTCATATTAAATAAGATTTGCTTTATTGTAACTACAATTGCGAATTAATTATATTGCATATTATGTAATCAAATTACATTAATATTAATTACAATAAAATCAAATTACATTATGAATGAAACTATTATCTACCTTTCGTGAGAACAGTCGATTGTTTTTTTTGTTTTATCGGATCATATTTAAATGTTTTCACTAAGGGACCTTTACCAGCGCTGTTAAATTGCACTGCATCCGCTCGTTCTCTCTCAGATAACTGCCTTGATATCTTCATGTTTGTCCAAGCTAAAATCGAAATAATATACATGTTTAATGTATCGTACTTTTACTATATATATATTCTTTGTATTATCTGCAATCATGTTTGCTTTAATTTAGGTAAGTGAAATTTTAATCTAAAATTTAATTATATGATTCTATGTATATCTTAACATATGTAATGTAACACTTACATTCTTTGAATTCTTCGATAAAATTTTTTTTACTAACTGACGGTACAGGCTTGTGTCTTACGAGGACGGGCATTTTCAGAGCTTTTCTTACATATGGAATCTTTAATACGCCAGTTTGTATCAGGGAAATGAAATTCGTTGACACCCAATACGTCAAAATAGCCTACAAATAATATATAAAGAAATATACTTTGTCACATGTTTGAAAAAATAAATGCTTATTTAATATTTCACGAACACAAACGTTCCCTAAAAGTAATCCTCCATAAATCAAGACTGAAGCAACATCGATATCATTGCAACTTACACCAGGGAAGTTTATCATGAACGGCAATAGGATGAAGGGCATAACTCGTACGACGTATCGCATCACGCCCATCATTTGGAGATTAACACCATCTGTGGCGAGCTCGATTGTGATATACATTGTCACACTAGTAATTATAGGCATTATATAATAAGGATCAGGTATAGTGAGATCCGTCAACCACCAAAAGCCGCCCTGTTTCAAACTGTCCAGAGGTAAATTTGTCATACTTCTCAGGGCGAAGAAGAAGGAGCAGAAAATCGGCGCCTGAAAAGATCAGCAAGTAAGAAATTATTTTCTTATCACATTTTTTACTCTTTTACACGCGTATATGTGTAGAAGCATTGCAGACCTGGATTAATGGCATCATAATATTCTTCACGGCACTAACTCCGTTTTTCTTCATGTAATTCATCAACTCACCCGCTGCCTTTGCACCTGTTACAAGAATAATATATAATCCTCCTCAATGGCGAACAAGATAAAAATTCTTTACAAAATTCTCTTAGCATACTTTCGAGTGGATCACCGGAATATCTAGCGTCCGTCATTTTCCTTTGCAGCTCTTGTATCACAGGCATGTGGTTACTGAATTTGATCGCATTCTTTTGTGACATTATTACCAACGGGAATATAATAGTCCTTGCACAAACAGTACCTGAAACACGATTGCACAATTAGAACTTTTGTTAAAAATCTATAACAGATGTATGATCTTATATTATTTTTTTTTTCAAAGACAATGATATAAAAGACACTTAAGAAGAAACGCACAATTACTAGAAAGTACAAAAACTATGAGCTATTATTAATCAAGATATAAAAATATGCTTTGACTACAATTTTAATTGCAATAATCTTATAAGCTTGTAATAAAAGAAAGAATACCGACGACAATTGCTCCCCACCATGGTATATCACAACTTATATGCATAAATTCTAGAAAATTCTGTATAAGTCCGACTGGACCATAACCACCAAGACCTAAGCTCTCAAAAGTTGCTTCTCCGTTTGGATGCATTGTCACAACATTTTCCACTATCTCCTGTAATGGTGCTGGTGGATCTACATATATATATACATATAAAATGCAGATTAACAAATAGTAAATAGTAGAAAGTTTCAATAATATTGACTACTTTAATCACAACATTTTTAATATTTATTATAACACAAACATTAAAAAATTAAAGTCACGTAATGCTGGAAAATATTTCTACAAATACCTGGTATTTCATCATATGGACTGCTTTGTGATGGTATTTCGTTTGTGCTGGCGTAACGAACCAAAGAGATTCCTGTAACTCTGTAGTGTTTGTATAAATTCAGCAAGGAATTGCTTCTGGGAGTCCTGTTTACTTGAGTGACTAAATGAATATGCCTGTGTGTAACTGCTTTCTAAATAAACACAAAACAACACAATTAAATTTTTTTTTTAGCAAAATTGTATTTTAAACAACACTAAATTATATCATTTACACAAAAATTATATGTAAAATCGAAAAAAAATAAATAAAAAATAAATAAATGCCTCATATAGTATAAGACTTACTTAAAAAAATATTATATAAAGATTTTCTGAATAATTATTGGTAAGATATACAATAAAATTGATACATTTGCATTAACCATGCACATACAATTTTTCCCAGTTTGTCATTCAGGTATAGAATTGTTTAATCGTTCTTCTCCTTTTCAGATATCTTATACTTTATGTGATTTGTATTTTTGACTATTATAATCCTCTAACCTCTAAAAACATAGAAACATTAATTTTACCTGTGATATCATATTTGTTTTTAATAGCCCTTGCCGGCAAACGATCGTGGATATTCGTGTCAACATTTTTGCAATTTTTGTTCAAACTGTCGATAATTCTTGCTTAATCAACGAATTAGCGATTATATGACTTAGTAACTCAGCGTGGAGGCAATGGTGGGACTGGAGAATGTATATGCTGGTACATGCAGCCATGCGGCGTCTTCAGCATTAAGCAAATCTGCGCATGTACGAGTTTCAAGCAGCACGAATCTTAAACAGAAATGTTTTCATTATAATTCTAATTAGAAGTATGTTAAAAGTAGAGTATATTATAGTAAATAAATAATTTTTATGTAAAAAATATGTAATATATTGTCTATAGATTATTTTTAACCCGGCATCGCAATAAGAATTTTACTGCAAATTTCTCACAAGTGCATTTTTTGCTTTACTCAATTATTGAAAAAAAAACAAAGCATTGTGCATTTTTTCAGCTTGCACGTATAAAACATAATTACTCTAAAAACAATTTTAATTGTGTTGCATGAGATGAAAAATCAAGCAATTAACACAGAGCTATTATTTTGAAATAATTATATGAGAAAACAATATAGATAGATAAAAACACATACTACACATACTAATAAGGAAAGTGATGCAAGTGTTCCCCTCCGATTTTGATGGGCTTGAATATGTTGTAGAATAGCTAAAAATAAGAGACCTGCATTTTTTTATACGTGCTCAATCGCAGTTCAAGAAATTAAACAACCCTTACCTGAATATCTCTTATAGTTTTAACAATATTTCCTTATAATCAAATACATTGCATTAGCTTGTAGAGGTTGTTTCAACCCCTAACATGCAATTAAGCACATATAAAAAACTATGTATCTCTTATTTTTTTCCCGCAAAGATGGCTGAACCGTACAGTCATTTGGGCTTAGCAAACCCACGGATCTGAGCTCACACACATGTACACTAGTGCACTTACATATTACACATAGTGCTATATAAATTTTATTACCACCCCCACTAGACCCGCAGATTGTAGATTGCTGCAAGAGGAGAGATCCTTCGGCGCCTTCACACATATTTACTCTACTCTTATTTTTAGTTATTCTATAACATATTTAAAACCCATCAAAATCAGGACAATAGCATCACTTTCCTTGTCAGATAGAGTTCGTTATATAATATCCTTAAAATATATAATGATTTAAAATACCAAAATTTCTTGTTTTGTGTGTACAGTTTTTTGAGCAACAAGGTAATCCTCCTTTGCGCACTTAACGATTTAATAGACTTATGATTTCTTCAGCTATCGTCGGGCATTAAAGTGACAAACTTGTGAACGAAATTACAATAATCAATTATATAACCAATTGTGTGATAAATGCTAAAATATTAACTTGATATTATATGATGCATTTGTGTTTTTCTAATAATTTTAAAATTATCTCAGATTTGCCATTCTAAAGTAATTTTAAAGTTTAATTTTAAAGTTTAGAGTGACAAGATATTAGCAACGTTTATTATATTTAAGACATTATGCTATCTGAAAAAAAGCATTTATAGCAATCACAAAATGCATATGTACATGCCTTAACCTATAAATAATCTTAACCTATAAATTTGGCAAACCGAGCTGATAGCATCTATTTCGCATTGTTATGTTAAGTATCGAAAAGATTAATTTTGTTTTTGTAATTAATTGATAATATCTTTCAAATTAATTACCTGAAATAAATGATTCTGGTCTTATCAAACGTACTCAACCTTTCTCTTTTCATATGACACTTGTCTATTGCACTTTTCGATGAGAGATTGATAATTTCATCGACCCATGCGCATGATCTCCCGAAGGATTCCGACCAAATTCCGACATAGGCCGACCGGCGCTACTGCCACGCAATCTATACAAGTGTTTCAGGTCATTGCCTTTTCCACATGACTGATCAATCTAGGTCAACTATTAATAGCATCTCCGCATTCCACGCGGCGCATCTTCAGTCTATTTATAGACGGCACACGTGCTGAATTTTCAAAACGCTATAACTCAGCGAAAAATTGACGTAGCGACATGGGACAAAAGCAGATCCTCTCAGTTTTTTATGCTTCACATGTTCTTATGACACGCATATACATATTTGTAGTAGATTCAGATAAAATTAGGATATTTTATATATCTGAATTATTTGAATAGTTCAAAGTAAAAAAATAATATTATCTACACTATTTTAGAAGTATTGCACCTTGTGAATGTACTAACAAGTGTTTTTCTACCTTCATTTCGAATCAGGCAACACGGCATATAGAGTATATGGCTATGGAGTATATGATGTAGATCAAATAAACATAGAAAAATAACGCTTATTTTCTATTAGAATAAGATGTACATAAAAAATGTTTTTATTACAATGAGAATCATCCTGGCAACTTTAATACAAACGTTTGAATTCAAAGTAAGTAAAGATATCAAAATAAATAAAATAAAAAAGTAAATGTGGATATAGCAATAAATACAAATAAATAAAAGTTTTAAAAATTACAATTAAGAAAAAAGATTTTTATTAGAGCTAACACAAAAATGCACAGATAGACACGTAATTAATATTGTATAAAAATTTGCAATACTAGTTAATAATGTTAAAGTACAACAATAAATATACAACATAAATCTGCTGTGAATATAATATATATAACATAATATATAATATAATATTTTATATAATCTTATATATTACATAATAATATAATAATATATAATCTTATATGTTGTAAGATTGCGCCGAGATCGACCGGCAGGCGATGCCAGCTCGTGGCTGCCCAAATTCGTCTATCGACAGATCGAGCAATGATCGATTCTGGGCGGGCGCGCTCCCGCTCTACAATTAAGAGAAACGGGGAACTTTCTCGTTAATTCGAGAAGGTTCCAAAAAGTTGTACTTATAAGTGACTGGCTACCAAAAATCACTCTCTTACATCGAGTCGAACTGAACAGCCGCAATCGTAATTCAACAGAGAGTCAGTCGGATCGAATTTATTCAGATTATTAAACCTAGTCGAATTTTCGTTGTAATCATTATCTTGTGGAAATATATAGTTATAAGTTATAGTAAATTCAGTGTTAAACTTTTAAGTCTTCATTCTATCGTTTTCCTAGTTCCATATAGTTCCGAAAGAACTACCGCTTATTTTTCAATATTAAACAAGTAAGGTCAAATAAAGTCGACGGTTAAGTTTTTAAAATTAACGACGAACAAACGCGAGTGATTTCATTAATCTTTTTATTGAATCTTACAATAATATCGAGTCACATGAACATTATCGAGGATATTCCGCGAGAAACGGAAATATCTTACAATGTTATATAATATAATTTAATAATAAATAAAATTATCATATGCTTAAAAGGTGTAAAAACTCAGGTGTAAAAACAATTAAAATGTATTTTTAATTAGAAAATATTTTTCATTGTTTATTGAATTTCCTTAATTTGGGAAGATTTGTTTTGCTAATTTTCTGAATGGTTCTTCGACGCATACTGTAAGGACTAACGAAATTGCAAAAGCATAAATGGCATCTGGAACAATTTCCCAACCCTGAACAAAAAAAATTATTTACTAGTTTAATTGACTATATATATCCTCAGCATACAATAAATCTTATTAGCCCGAAATTAAAAATTTAACTCAAATCGAAAGTTCTTTTTATGAACATGAAAGAATATTTGAGCAGTTTTATCAACTCGCTTATTATAATTAAAATTATTTTAAATTTTAATATACTGTTCATATAATGTAATTGCAAAATAGTCTATACGTACCAAATCATAATATGAAAATTGTCTAGCGGTTCTCATTCGTCCAGTGTGAAAAATGTGAATTATCTCACTGACGAGAAAAACTCCATAAGTCAAACGTGACAATACTTGCACCCAACGTGAGATAATCTCAATAACCGAAGTGTAACACTCTATGGAAAGGAAATATATCATAAATATGAAAGATAAATACAGCATTCTACGTTTAATATTCTGTGCATATAAAATAATGCTGATACATTTTGATCATTAAATATGTACGTATATTTGCGTTTATAAACATTAAATTGTATCTAGGTTGCCTTAAAATTGAATACTAAACAAATACATACTATAAATTCTCAAACTAATTTGATTGTTGTGATTGTAACAATAGAGTTTTAATGTGCAAAATATAATTAGTTACTAAATTAAATCATACTATACCTATATGACTGCCGACAGATAGTAGAATTATTGTAAGAGAGAGGCACAGTGAAGGTAATAATCTGTAAAAAAATGCATAAAGCGCGTCTTCCAAAATTGATGTGTCGCCATACGGTATGAAGAATTTGTACGACCATAATTGAAATGCGATGTACACAGTCACAGGCAATGGTAGAATTAACACATGCGACCAAAACTGTAAAATGATCGTAGCTATAAAATGCGATATGAATTGTAAATATAAAATAATATGAGTTACGCACCTTCGGCACTTGCCATTTTATTTGTTTATGGTCGTAAAGTATTGCACCTGTGATTATCCCAATAAGATATGCAGAAAAGCGAAAATGCGTTTTTATGTAATACGTCTTAAAATACGATACTTCTTGTACATTATGGATCCTGAAATCAAATAATCACGATTTAGCAATCTATACATCCTATTTTATTTTTGATACTCAAATATCTCGAAAAGGTAAAGTTAAAAAAAAATGTGTTAAACAAAAGTTACTTGATTGTAAGAAAGAATATTATATGTATGCATTGACGAGAAAAGTAAATTTTATTGGTCTTAAAACTCTACAATAAACCGCTTCTGGGATATTTGCTTGTTACGTTTGAAGATATACAAATAGTTTATATTAATTTTAATAAAATATAGCGTTAAATTTTTTGAAAAATAGAGACATGTCTCTTTCGAAGATTTCTGTCAATTTTAGCGGTTTTTTTTTTTTCTAGTTTGCTTGTGTAACTATTTTTATAAAACATTCTGCATAAATTATAAATAACAACTTACACTGGTGTGACACGAAAGATTGGCGATACATTATACAAGTATGTTGCAATAAATGGTATAATACTGCCGACGATTGTGAGCGTTCCGAGAAAAAGATATCCAATTTTGCGTGGCATACGCCAAAACATGTAGATCACAAAGTGACTCAAAATGAACAATTGAAAATCGACAGACAAATGCCATGTATGGTACATACACTGAAACAAAAATCAGAAAAAATAGTAATGTAACGCTAACGAACAATGTATGTGTGTTCGATTGGTAAAAAGTAATTTAATAGTAATTTATCTTCCAAATCAATTTTAAATCTTGTGTAAATGTCCAATGTTGTGCAATAATTATTCAAGCTATGGATTTTCTGTCACTATTGAAAATCACCGACGATTCGCCAGAATTACGTTTATCACTTAAATAAAAACTGCCAAAACAAAATTCCTTTAATCAAAATTGGTAACTTTGAAAACAAAATTACTTTTCTACCAATCCAATATATTAATAAATTTAAATGTATGTTTCTTACCAATTCTAATGGTTTTACATAATTATGGATGTATAACAGATTTGCCCACCAATTAGCGGCACATTTTGCAGCTTCTTCTTCAACTTCTCGTTTCCAAAAAGGTCCCGAATCAAGAAGCGGAAAGATCCAAACGAAAAAGAACAGAATTATAGCGTAGAGTGGAGTTAATCTGCCAATTTATAAATCGAGATACATTTTTACCATTGTTCTTTTGTAGATACGTTTCACAATTAGCTTTTGGGTATTAAGATTATGATACATTTGCATATTTGTGGTGATTTCAATTTTAGATTAAAAAGTAGTCAAAATAATTGCGTGGTTTTTTTACCTTAAATATCTGGATAAAACATTATTGATAAAATTGAATCGCTTTTTTTTATCTAAAGTCCTTAACAAACTATGCACGAATAACAGACCGGCTAGTGTAAAGAATATATCTGTTATAATACTTCCATTCATATAAAGCATAGATATCGGTTCAGAGAATTTCTAAAAAAAATATTATAAAATTTGTAGATCAAACTTTAATCATAAATAAGGATGTGTTTCAAAAATTAAACAAGTACGTTTTTGAAAATATTTAAAGACTAAGAAATTGAAGACGATTAAAATAAGAGTTAAATGCATGAAATATTATTATATAATTAATTTTTATATTATTTCACAGAATAACATCAATTTTATATTATAAACTGTAATATGAAATGCTATATAGTTGCTTAAATTGTTTTTATAAAAAATTATTAATGATTTACATTTATCATATTATTTCTATTATATTTAAATAAAATTGCAATATTTACCTTTTCAAAATTCTCCAAATTAATTGTTGGAGTGAAAAAGTAGCGCATTACGTAATGTAGATACAATACAAACATCGATGAGGCGAATCGTACAATGTACAAGCTCTTTAATTCCGGATGCGAGTTATCTATCTGAAAAATACTCTTCAAATTTCTTCGAACTGAGAAATGAAGTATCACATTTTGGAATGTTGATATATGCTCTTTCTCGTTAATCACTTTAACATCATACCAAGTACTGCCGATTATAAAACTCAGCCAACCCAATAGTATGGTGCTAGAAAAAATTATTGAAATATTATTAATATTATTTCGAATTATTTTTATATAATTTATCAGCATTAAATTTGCGCATTCAGAATATTTTTATTTAATTTCATAAAAACTAAAGCTTAGATTTTTTTGCAAAGTTATAACTAATATAAATATATTTTTTTAATGTTATAAATACGTAATAATTGCTTCTTCAATAATAATCACCAGTATATTTTTGCAGCAGCAGTAAATCTTGGCCCTTCTTCAATCGTTTGACAAAATCTTGATTGGACAGCGATGTGAATTTTAATATAGTTATATGTATTGATTTGTTGAGATGTTTTTAAAGCCATTTCTACGTCTTTCGCCTTGCAGCTGGATGGTACACACAGAGCTAATTGTAAGTGATATCGACGAATACGAAGAAAGTTTCCTTTTTCCTATGCGCATAAAAAAACAATATCATAAAAAAACAAGTAAATTTAATGTAGCACACTTTTCTTGAGTAAAAAAGAAGACTTAAAAATAATTTGCATATACCAGTCTTTCGATTTATGCTGCATTTTTTATACGCTATTATTAATCAGTCACTTCATGCAATATATTTTATACACAGTTTTTGCGATGAATTTATGCGATTAAAAATGTAATTTTTTTATTGTATCTACTTTTAAAAAAGACATGTAAATTTTCATTACTTTTCTGTGATACTGACTCATCATCTCAATGCGCGCTGCGCATTTATTGTTTTAGAATCCAGCAGTGACACTGACGAAGAGTAAAATTAAAATTTGTTTTTTTGTACTTTTATTATACTTTTATTCTAATATTAATAAAATAAATGTAAATCCAGGGACAGGTGTATTTATGATATTATACCTTTATCGCTTCCCAAACAGATTCGTTCGGATCAAAGTCGAACATGACTGATTTCTTGGAATTCATTAATGTATGTTTTTTTTCATACAGAAGATCGACTAAACAGTATTTCCCAGTGATTTTGCCGGCCAATGTATCTTTTCTTTTTCTGTCAACTTGCAAATTGTAACATTCGTCAAAGTTACCCAAATGTCTTGTATGACCGTACAATATGCCACTCGGATACTTTGATGAAGCGTCATACACTAAAACAATTTTATACGACATAATGTAATAATTAAATCTTGAATAAAATTTCCATTTTAGATTTTAGAATATTGGTCGTAAATTAATAATTATTGCAAAGATTCACATATGAAACATGCTAGATTAAATATACAAGTCTGAATAAAATATTCAAAATCTTAATAAAAAAATGGAAATATAATAAGCTGCCACAAGAGAGACACTTCTATGGATATCTTTGTAAATTAAACAATTTTTTTATTTTTAACAGTAATATTTTTTAATAAAATTCTAAGTAGATAATAAAATTCTAGTATTCTAGTTTTTTTTATTTTTAAATTGTTTTCATTAATTAAAAATTTCATTAAAAAAGTTTATCCTGGACGTATTTGTACTCTTTTTAATTTCACAAGAGTATCAATTTTTTATGTACTTACTTTGCGCAGCCCATAGTGTACCACGTTGTAATTCGTTTAAAAATCGTAGCACATCTTCTTTACATTGTCCATGTGGCAAGTATTCCGATTGAGCGAAGATTATAGGTAACAGCGGTGAATTTATAAAATTGATTGATTTCATATGCCATTTATGATATTTGCCATTTTTTGTGATTTTGTTCCAATTCGTTTGGTTAGAACAAATTTGCGTATTAGACGTTGTTCGTATTAGACATTGTTTCGGTGTGACATGACTCTGTTCAGCCAAACTGCACGATATCGTCGATAACAATAATACGCCAATGTAAACGATCGTGTGTTTAAGCATCTCTATTCGATATTCCGCACAGAACTAGCAAAGTTTTGTTTTCGTGATCCTTTTATATGTATCTTTATTGCCCCGTTGCGCCGTGTTTAAAGCAACTGTGACTTGTAGAGAATTTTTTTATAAACGACCCTCGACGTATAATTAATACCAAAATTATTAATATTACATCGTATTGACGTAACCTGTGACTAAAAAATGCCGTTATAACATTAATTAATTATACGACATAATGTAATAATTAAATCTTGAATAAAATTTCCATTTTAGATTTTAAAATATTGATTGTGAATTAATAATTATTGCAAAGATTCAAATATAAAAAATGCTAAATTAAATATACAAGTCTGAATAAAATAGTCAAAATGTTAATTTGATAAATCAAGATGCTTGATGATTTTGCAAAAACTATAGTCGGGAATCAGATTGTACCCATGTAAACAAAAAAAAGACCAAAAAAGATCCTGTTATTTTAAGGCCAATGTCCACAAGTTAAAAATGGAACCGAAAAATACATATATACATCATTATGTTATGTATAAAAGTATTGAGGTAAGATTCCCGAAAATTGAATGTTTTACAAGTTATTTTGTATTTTATGTCAAAATACCGTAATTTACAAGCCTCATAACTCGGAAAGTACTTAATGAAAAATAACTTTATTATAGTGTTTTGAAAAGCTCTTGACACCAGCTATTAAATTTTGGAATAAAAAATAGGGTGTTCGATTTAAAAAAACAAAGTTGACTTTTATATGGCCTTGATATGTACACCCTAGGTTTAAACCAATGTCATCATTGGATGTCCCCCTCCAAACCCAACTTTTGTTTGAAACATTTTTTGCTGAAACCAATTTCTACAAAGTTATTCACGTGGGGTTTTGAAAATGGAACACCCTGTATATATATAAAGAAGAAAAAAGACTACTCTGGAGCAACGCCAAATAATGATTCAATTTATGGAAGAACATCCTGACTTTGCTCAAAATAGAATTCAAGGTTCTGAGGCGCAAAAACAAACAGCGCATTTATGAGAACAGCTAGCAAATGAATTAAATTGTTGTGGCTATGGAGCCACAAAATCAACAGAGAAGTGGATGAAGGTATATATTATGCTAAATATAATTTGAAGTTTTTATCTCTTCTAAGATAAAAAAAAAATAGTTTAAAAATCTGTTGTAAAAAATATTTAAACAATATTTCTTTTTATTTTGTAGTCATGGAGAGATTGGCGTTTAGATGTAAAGTCTAAAGCATCAAAATTGAGAAATTATCTGAAAGGTACAGGCGGAAAAGGCCCATCACCAGCCTCTTTACAAGAAACAGAAAATAGATTAATTGCTTTGATGGGTGTAGAATCAGTAATTGGGCATTTAAGTGTAATAGATCCTGCAGAGGTTGGTAGTATATATTAAGTTTTGCTATCTATTAATAAATTATCACTAGATTTATGATATATTTTTTATATACTGTTATTATATTAATTATTACTATATTATCAATTTTATTTTTTTATTATTTTTTTTCCTATTTCTTCTTGAATGTAGCCTCAAAATTGGACTGAACAAACTTTAACTGAAAATAATCTGCTTCTATGCCAATCTTCAATTACACCATCTAAAACTGTATCCAATCACTCGTCTTTTTATTTTTCTCGACAAAAAAGCACCTTTCCACAACAATCTATTCCACAGACAACCACATTATCAACCACATTCTCAACTACCAATTTCTGTCAACAAGAAAACTTTGCAATATACTTCACGAACCTCACTCATCTATCTCAACAAGGAGATACTGTTTTGCAACAATATACTCCACAGACAACATTCATAACTTCATTATCTGAAGTACATTCATCTCCTCATTTAAATACAAATAATAACGAACATCAAGAAACATTGATGCATTCGTCTCCATCCTATCCACCGATATCCGAATCCCAAAGAAAGCGCTTGAAAAGGCAAAAGACTGCAGACGTTCGTGGTAAGAAAGTTAAAAAGACCACGAAGTTTATTTCAAAAATGTAATGAAAGTAAAAATTATCCAGACAATACGTTTGTCTAAAAGATGTCACATAGATCTTTTAGACACACACATACATGTTGTCTGAAAAATATATTTTTAACTTCTTTTAAATTTAAATAAAATTACATATAATCTTCTTTTATAAATGTCCTTTTATTTTCGTTCTTTTCTTTTAGATATCGATGCACAGATACTACATGAAATACAGATGCAAACGAAAGCAGTACAAAAATTGACAAATGCTGTTACAGATATTGCAGCTTAAACAGTTTGTGAATGCAGATTTGGTATGTATGGCAGAATAATAATATTGTTACAATATAATAATATATAATCTTATATGTTGTAAGATTGCGCCGAGATCGACCGGCAGGCGATGCCAGCTCGTGGCTGCTCAAATTCGTCTATCGGCAGATCGAGCGATGATCGATTCTGCGCGGGCGCGCTCCCGCTCTACAATTAAGAGAAACGGGGAACTATCTCGTTAATTCAAGAAGGTTCCAAAAAGTTGTACTTATAAGTGACTGGCTATCAAAAATCACTCTCTTACATCGAGCCGAACTGAACAGCCGCAATCGTAATTCAACAGAGAGTCAGTCGGGTCGAATTTATTCAGATTATTGAACCTAGTCGAATTTTCGTTGTAATCATTATCTTGTGGAAATATATAGTTATAAGTTATAGTAAATTCAGTGTTAAACTTTTAAGTCTTCATTCTATCGTTTTCCTAGTTCCATATAGTTCCGAAAGAACTACCGCTTATTTTTCAATATTAAACAAGTAAGGTCAAGTAAAGTCGACGGTTAAGTTTTTAAAATTAACGACGAACAAACGAGTGATTTCATTAATCTTTTTATTGAATCTTACAATAATATCGAGTCACATGAACATTATCGAGGATATTCCGCGAGAAACGGAAATATCTTACAATGTTATATAATATAATTTAATAATTAATAATAAATAAAATTATCACATGCTCCAAACTCAGGTGTAAAAACAATTAAAATGTATTTTTAATTAGAAAATATTTTTCATTGTTTATTGAATTTTCTTAATTTGGGAAAATTTGTTTTGCTAATTTTCTGAATGGTTCTTCGACGCATACTGTAAGGACTAACGAAATTGCAAAAGCATAAATAGCATCTGGAACAATTTCCCATGTCTAAACAAAAAAAATTATTTACTAGTTTAATTGACTATATATATCCTCAGCATACAATAAATCTTATTAGCCCGAAATTAAAAATTTAACTCAAATCGAAAGTTCTTTTTATGAACATGAAAGAATATTTGAGCAGTTTTATCAACTCGCTTATTAAAATTAATATTATTTTAAATTTAAATATACTGTTCATATAATGTAATTGCAAAATAGTCTATACGTACCAAATCATAATATGAAAATTGTCTAGCGGTTCTCACTCGTCCAGTGTGAAAAATGTGAATTATCTCACTGACGAGAAAAACTCCATAAGTCAAACGTGACAATACTTGCACCCAACGTGAGATAATCTCAATAACCGAAGTGTAACACTCTATGGAAAGAAAACATATCATAAATATGAAAGATAAATACAGCATTCTACGTTTAATATTCTGTGCATATGAATTAATGCTGATACATTTTAATCATTAAATATGTACGTATATTTGCGTTTATAAACATTAAATTGTATCTAGGTTGTCTTAAAATTGAATAACTCAACAAATACATACTATAATTTCTCAACTAATTTGATTGTCGTGATTGTAACAATAGAGTCATAATGTGCAAAATATAATTAGTTACTAAATTAAATCATACTATACCTATATGACTGCCGACGGATAGTAGAATTATTGTAAAAGAAAGGCACAGTGAAGGTAATAATCTGTAAAAAAATGCGTAAAGCGCGTCTTCCAAAATTGATGTGTCGCCATACGGTATGAAGAATTTGTACGACCATAATTGAAATGCGATGTACACAGTCACAGGAAATGGTAGAATTAACACATGCGACCAAAACTGTAAAATGATCGTAGCTATAAAATGCGATGTAAATTGTAAATATAAAATAATATGAGTTACGCACCTTCGGCACTTGCCATTTTATTTGTTTATTTACGTCGTGAAGTATTGCACCTGTGATTATCCCAATAAAATATGCAGAGAAGCGAAAATGCGTTTTTATGTAATATGTCTTAAAATACGATACTTCTTGTACATTATGGATCCTGAAATCAAATATTTGCGATTTAGCAATCTATACATCCTATTTTATTTTTGATACTCAAATATCTCGAAAAGGTAAAGTTAAAAAAAAATGTGTTAAACAAAAGTTACTTGATTGTAAGAAAGAATATTATATGTACAGTTAAAAAAAAATGTGTTAAACAAAAGTTACTTGATTGTTAGAAAGAATATTATATGTATGCATTGACATGTCTCTTTCGAAAATTTCTGCCAATTTTAGCGGTTTTTTTTTCTAGTTTGCTTGTGTAACTATTTTTATAAAACATTCTGCATAAATTATAAATAACAACTTACACTGGTGTAATACGAAAGATTGGCGATACATTATACAAGTATGTTGCAATAATAGGTATAATACTGCCGACGATTGTGAGCGTTCCGAGAAAAAGATATCCAATTTTGCGTGGCATACGCCAAAACATGTAGATCACAAAGTGACTCAAAATGAACAATTGAAAATCGACAGACAAATGCCATGTATGGTACATACACTGAAACAAAAATCAGAAAAAATAGTAATGTAACGCTAACGAACAATGTATGTGTGTTCGATTGGTAAAAAGTAATTTAATAGTAATTTATCTTCCAAATCAATTTTAAATCTTGTGTAAATGTCCAATGTTGTGCAATAATTATTCAAGCTATGGATTTTCTGTCACTATTGAAAATAACGGACGATTCGCCAGAATTACGTTTATCACTTAAATAAAAAACTGCCAAAACAAAATTCCTTTAATCAAAATTGGTAACTTTAAAAACAAAATTACTTTTCTACCAATCCAATATATTAATAAATTTAAATGTATGTTTCTTACCAATTCTAATGGTTTTACATAATTATGGATGTATAACAGATTTGCCCACCAATTAGCGGCACATTTTGCAGCTTCTTCTTCAACTTCTCGTTTCCAAAAAGGTCCCGAATCAAGAAGCGGAAAGATCCAAACGAAAAAGAACAGAATTATAGCGTAGAGTGGAGTTAATCTGCCAATTTATAAATCGAGATACATTTTTACCATTGTTCTTTTGTAGATACGTTTCACAATTAGCTTTTGGGTATTAAGATTATGATAC